AAGTGTAAAATGATTCTATAGACACAAAGAGAACCACAGAATCATTACTCTAGTATTATGGTTAAACGAGATAGGGCTGGGCACGGTGGTCCACGCCTGTAATCCCAGTGCTTCAGGAGGCTGAAGAATTGCTTGAGCCTGGGAATTTGAGACCACGCTCTGCAACATAGTAAGACCTCTTAGAAAATTAGCTGGGTGTAGTGTTGTACACCCATGGTCCCAGCTAGTCAGGAGGCTGAGGAGGTAGGATCACTTGAGGATGCAGTAAGCTGTGATCAAACCACTGCATTCTAGCCTGGGCAACAGGGCAAGACCCTGTCTCTCTTGGAAAAAAAAAAAAAAAGACAAAACACAAACCAGATGAAATGTCCATATTTACAGATCAGATCAAAAAGCAGTCCTACAGAGGCCCTTCATATAATTTAACCAAATACTATCACATAATCCATATAAATAGACTCCCCTTTCCTGTGAAAACTGGGAAATAGAAGATTGGTGGCAAATGAGATAATTAAAGAATGATGCAAATACTCACCACACCATTACTTTATCTATAATTCATTCTGCTCGTGTGAGTCCACTCAGGACTTAGGGAAGTACGTTTGCGAAACACTATCACATGGCAGATGATGTTGCCTGATGCTGGGACTGCATGTGAAATTCACAGGGGCCCCACTGGCCAAGCACAGGAAGAGGTGAGTCCCACTTCCAACTGCCACTCAGAAGGGGGTTGAAAGTCTCCATCACGTGGCCCTCTGTGATCTGGTTTGCTTCTTTTTAGAAAAAGGTGTGGCTAGGAGTGGTGGCTCACGCCTCTGATCCCAGCGCATTAGGAGGCCAAGGCGGGTGGGTCACCTGTGATCAGGAGTTCGAGGCCAGCCTGGCCAACACGGTGAAACCCCATCTCTACTAAAAAATACAAAAATTAGCCAGGCGTGGTGGTAGGTGCCTATAATTCCATCTACTCAGGAGGCTGAGGCAGGAGAATCGCTTGAACCCGGGAGGCAGAGGTTGCAGTGAGCCGAGATCGCACCACTGCACTCCAGCCGGGGTGA